ACCAAGTGTGTAAGAAACTAGATTAATTAAAGGACTGAAAGAAAAGATCTGTCCTCTTTGAATTTTATACTTAGCAAACATACTTTGTTTTTTTTTTACTGATACTGTGGTGGCTTCTATTCCACACCATGACACTGGCTGTAAGTACTCCCGGGGAGGATGTGTGGACCTATTCAAGCTTACTGAACAGGTTTCTAAGTGGTTAAAGACACGCTGGTCACTGTTCCCTCTGGGCAGCAGCACCCTAACACTTTGGGTTCCACCCTGTAGAACAGCCCAGCGTTGGCACCAAAACTCTTTAGTTCTGATTTTCTACCCAGGCAAATCATTCATTTCTACCACGCCCACATGGAGCCTCCGGTACACCGGCAGACCGGCAGCGCTCACTGCAGTCTTGCTTCCTGAAACAAATCTGCGGCAGCCACAAGAATAAATGTAAATACCGCAAACCTGGAAATATGTTCCCAGTGAAAAAGATGGCAGTGACCAGGCAGGACGCCAAGTAAACTGGAACAACGAGGAAAACAGACTCTTAGTCGTTTGAGAAGAGACCAGCGCAGTGTGTTAATCTGAAGGAGCCAAGGAAGTTAATTGGGCCATACTAACCCAACGTTATATTTTCAGTACATCTGAGAAAACAATCCAGTGCTTAAAACACACAATTCTCATAAAGTAACTCTTAAGCAACTTCATCTTCAGGTAGCGGGCGCTGCCTGCGCCCTGCCCCTATTCCAGCGCAGTTGTTAAGTCATTCAAAGGTCCCCGGATGCTGTACTGCACTTGATGACCTGTAAAGTCACTAAAATCTTATTGCACTTTTTGTCATCAAAATCCCCTCATCAACATTTCCTGCCAAATTTCTCTCGGGACAGGCAGGTATGAAGGCTTTAATGGCCAGACCCTGACCCGTAGTGCAGCAGGCTGTAGACAACTAGGACATGGGCTTTGCTTTCAGAAGCTATTTTCAGAAGGTGACACAGAGAAATAGATCATATTTAGCAATGCATATGGACTAACTGATCAATTACAAGTTAGGGTGCTTCAACAAATAGTATCTGGAACCCTAAAACACTAGTGAGTTCAATGAACACATGCCTGTCCTGAACTGACGGGTCATTCAAATAGAAAAGAAGGGATCTTACCGAGAGTGGATGGGAGGAGACCTGGAGGAGTCAGAAAAGGCCTCCTGGAGGCTGCAACATCACCTGAGGGACAGGAGGCACAATAAATACAACAGACCAACATGAGGAAGGCGACCAAAGCTAGGCAGCAGAAAGACCAGGAAGCACGGGACCTAAAAGACAAGCCTGTCTCTGCAACAATGATGTTTTGACCTTGACTAAGCCACTTGACCTCTGTAAGTCCTATTTTTTCCATATTTGTAATACGGGAAAATTAAATCAGCCAACTGACCTTATCTCTTGCTGTGCGGCAGAACCGCCTGGGAGCTTTGCAGAAAGCCCCGGCCTTCTCCGGAAATGAGCTTTAATTGGTGGGGCATCCACCGTCCTTTCTAAAGCTCTCCAGACAATGCCAATCTGCAGCCACGGCTGAGAGGCACTCCGTGAGATGATCCCTCCACTGCTGGTGCACAATAGCCTCCTCTAGGGAGCTTTTACAAAGCCCAGTGCAGACTATTCCAGACAATTAAACCAGAATCTCTGGGGTGGTACCCGGCCACCAGGAACCTGAAAGTTGCCAGGCTGATTCCAACACTGCTGATCACTATTCCAGACCCTTGGAATATTTCAGTCTCTCCCCTTCCCAGACAAATGAGTGGTGGCAAGAGAGAAAAGAGGTTCCTAAATTCCACCTTCCTCATTCCTGTGTCAGATTAGAAAGAATTCAATGCCAGAGGCAATGGAGGCTTTTAAGCAGGACTATACCGCAGGGCGTGCTGATTTTGCCTGTGCCACCACGTTGATGCCCGAATGGTAGGGCATGCCTATCCCCAAAAGCTCAGTTCTACATTTAAAATTCAAGGAATTACTTCTATAAAATGACTCCGTGGGTGCCCCCTGCAATAGTTAGTTACAATCTGACTTGCATGGCTGACTGTAATATGAACATTACATTCCCTACCCCTGAGGTTACTTAAATCCACTTATTAGGCAACAGTGAGCTAAACAAACAGTAATTACGAACACTGCCGTCTACCTTTTAAATCTGTTGCTAAATTATATTTCTCTTGCAGCAAAGCCTGTTCACACAGCTCATCCGCGAGCCTCACAAAACCAAAGCCCCAGAAATATTTACATTAATAAGGGCATCAGCTACCCCTAGGCCTGCACACGGTTCCCCGGGATTCCTCAGGGAAATGCGGCTGCTTCAGAAGAGGCCGCTCATTGCTGCTATCTCCCACATTTGGGTAAACAAACCCTGCCCGCGTGTGGCTAAATGTCCCCGGTGAAAAAGACCTCTCCAGGGGCTGGGAAACAAGCACGCCCATTTCCTGAAATGAGTCAGGCTTGGGAGTCCTTCTTCAGAGAAGAATATCTGCGCAGCCGCACAACTCACACAGTGACGCCAGATGACACCTGTGGCTAAGGGGGGGGCCAGGCCAGGACCTGGAGGTCAGCGAAGGCGGGCAGCAGCCCAGTGTCCCAGGCCCCGCTGTAAACCTTGATCAGCATGAAGACCGCATTAGGGAGCTGGCCCCTCGGCAAGGGGCGAAAGCAGCTAGAAAGGGCTCATCTGCTCCATAAGCCTTAGTTGTCCAGGATTCAATGCACCAACACACTAGATCCCCCGCGGACGGCACAGGTGCCTGAGGCTTTAAGATCAAGACCCTCCAGAATCAATTCTAAGGTGCTTTTGTACAAAGGTAGCTGCACAGGTGACTGCTGATGAGTTTCGAAGCACCAAATTAATGGACTCAGCGATACATCCAGGAGAACTGTTTTCTTAATGAAAATGCCATTGCCTTTTTAATTTAGAATTGCCAACAGAAGACAAGAGATGAAGAACTGCTCCTTTCACTCATAAAAGAGGCCTGATAGCACTGTGCCTTGTCCTTGATTTTGATTACCAGACATCGTCAAGAATCCAAGCTCCAGAATTTTCTAACCGTACAACAAGCACTTGATAGTGGGGCTCCCAGCCTCAAACCAAATTTAGTGTTCTGGTATTATAAATTCCTATGAAGTTCTTACTAAAGATTCAGCATGAGGCCAGGGAGATAGCTCAGTATTGAATAAGCACCTGCCTGGCATGCACAAGGTCCCGAGTTCAATCCCCAGTACTGGAAAA